AACTGTGTTAGAAAATGTCCAGTTCTAGTATTGATAGTGAAAAAATAAACATTAAAAGGCCCAAATACTCTTTTTTATTCTATGTATTCGATGTCAATATTTAATGTTTACATCTCCTTTTTGTAATATTTTGATTTTTTTCCAATTTTACTATTAATAAAATTGTTTTCTAGAAATGTTTGTTTTATTTTTTGAAATCTGCCGATTTTTGTCAGGATCTACCGATTTTTCTCAACAATTTTACCCATTCTCTTGCATCTGAGCCTGGTGGATTGCAGCTATAAGATCTAATTAATATAGAATCTTTTATGTAATAATTACTGTAAATTAAATTCCATATTGTTACAACGTAATAACGAGTTTTATAAAACGCTTCCGGGTTGAGTTTACCAAAAGTACAAGCTGATTATAGCTTTTGTTAGATACAATTTTATTGCCTTAGTATATCACTATTTACCACCATTTCCCCTAGTATATTGGTAGGAACTACAATCTATTTTCCTAGGTATAATTGGGTGAAAAAAACATATACATACCAAGATATATATGTAGTATCTTCACAGATACGGCTGTTTCCTTTAGCTTTTGGTAGATACGCATTTATTGCATTAGTATATCCCTGTGTAATATTTATCCGTGTAATATTAGTATAATCCCTACAGTATTGGTAGCAGTTTTTTTTACTTACTACCATTAATTTTATTAACACCGGCGCAGCTCCACCTGCGCGCAGTCATTGTAATTTGGTTAACGCCATTTTAATCAGTGATTAGTTTAAATATTACTAACATGAGTGGAACAGAAGCAAACTTATTATTGCCAAACTTGGCTTAAAACTAGCCGAAGAGGGTAGTAATAAAAACAAGGTGACTTCAGATTCAATCATTTAACCAACTATTAATTAAGAATTCACTGGGCTAGAAAATGGCTAGAAATCACCATTTTAGGCATTTGTATATCGTGATTTTTAGTTGGGTTTTATAAATAAGTATTATAATTTTATTATAGGCTAGGCTACATAAAACTTTTGGCTACTTTGTTATACGTATGTCTTAGTTTACTTTGATCAGATAACGATAAGTTTTTAACTTTATATACAACTGTTTTAACATTAAGGAATTTTAGGACAAATTTGTCTTTAAAAGGATGGGTTTAAAGTAATTAAAATTACTTTTTGTTTACACAGGAGAGTGTTTAAAAACTGACACAATTAATGATAATGGCAGCATACAAAAGTTTAACTCGACTGAAATAGCAAATGAAAGAAGCTATGATGAAGTTGAAATTGACAAGATGAGTACATTTGGATATTTTACTGACATAGGTTGGTAGCGATTTAGAGTTTTAATTTTTAAAAGTTCAGTTACCAATTATGTATAAAACAGACCAGCCTATATCTAGTCTCAGTTAATATACTAAAATGGAACCTAAACAAGTATTGAAGTAATTAATGGCTGACCTACTTTTTGCTGTCTAAATAATATTAAAGCAGCCTAATATTTTTTGAAGAACCACAAAAAAAACATGACACTATGGACTAATGAAAAGAAATATATGACTTTTTATTACATGATAACATGTCATGTGTGTTAGCCTTGCTAGATTACGTTGTGATTACTTTGTTTTAGAAAAATGCATGGACAACTGTCACAGTCAATGATGGAGTTAATGTATTTCCTTTAAACATAAACCTTATATCTGAAGCCAACATTTCTTTTGATGTGGATGATCCTGAGTTGAAAAGCTTATAGATGCAACGTCCCACGTGTTGAATGACTATGTGGTAATAGATGCAAAAATAATTTATGAAGTCATTGAAGCTACAGATATTGGCCCCAAGAAGCGATCCTGTTGGATAATGGTCAAGTAAATGATAATGAAAATAGCGAAAGAGTGGAACTTGAAGAGAACAAATAATGAATAAGGACAGGAAGAAATCATAAAAAATGCTGCTTTAAATCTATACACAAAAAGAAAAAGCTTAGAAAAAGAAAACATATCAACTTTCTGTACCTGGGAGAAAAAAGCTAAAATGTTGGAGAAAGCGAATGCGCATTATGTGCAGGGTACTTGTGCATGGAGCAATTGTAAAATTAAATGTCCTTCCAAAATCTCAGAAGACAGACAAAAAGAAATCAATAACCAGTTCTTGGCCATTGAGTGTGTTCAAGAAAGGAAGATATTTGTTTTGAATGAGCCAAATGGCTATAAAAAGAAAAACAAGTGGGCCTGATTCAAGTGTGCGCCAGTGGACAAACGAGTATTTTTTTAAAACTGACGATGGTACTAAGGTAAAAGTTTGCAAAAAAAGAGCCAAATTCCTCATGCTCCTGATAAAAGAAAAGGAAAGGAGCCCTCAAACAAAGCAAATAATGACCTGATAATTCTTCTTCTTCATGTGCCTTGTCCATTCCGAACGTTGGCAATCAACATGGCTATTCTGACTTTGTTTACGGCAGATCTGAATAGTTCAGCAGATGACAATCCGAACCATTGCCGCAAATTTTGGAGCCACAAGTGTCTTCTCTTCCTGGACCCCTTCTGCTGTCTATTTTCCCTTGAACGATCAGCTGTTAGTACTCTATATTTATTATGTCTCATAACGTGACCCAAGTATTCCAACTTTCTTCTCTATATACCTATTCCTACCTCTCTCTCTTTACCTACCCGGCGTGAGTACCTCTTCGTTGGTCACGTGCTCAGTCCAGGATATACGTAATACCTGATAATAGAAGACATTAACTCTAATGAACCTACAATCTCGCATCATAGACGAGAGCATGCTCCAAATAGAAGATATCTACCAATGTCATCTTTACAAAAAGACTGACAGAGTACAATGAAATTTTTGTTCCGGTTGGAAAAAAAAACTCATGGCCTAGCGTAGCCTGTTTATGGCATGATGCCATTCAAGAAAGAAACAAAGAAGAACTAGTAAGTACTGTTCACAAATTCCTAACAACCTATTGCCGGGACGTCAAACAGAATATATTGACGATGGACAACTGCTCAAATAAAAATTGGGCATCTTTGACTTATCTAGTTTTATGGTCAACAGTGATCAAATAAGTGCTAAATTAATTGAAATAAAGTACTTTAAACCTGGGCATACATTTATGTCATGTGATTCATTCCACCACATGGTTGAAAAAATCGCTGCACAAAGCGAAGAAAAGTCTAGAAGACTTTAAAATACTTTGAATACTTTAAAAAAGCTGTCCAAACATGTAGCAGCTCATCTAATGTGAGTATCATTGAGATGACTCACACAGATTTCTTTATGTGGGGGACCTTTCACACAAAAACAAAAAAGTAAAAAAGAAGCCTTAAGAATCACGAACAAAAAAAGCCAAGCAGACCTAGATCTAAGCCTGTATTGGCCACTCCAATAGATCAAAAAGTGGTACAAAAAACAGGTAACACTTATTTACAATTAACATGTGGAGGGACCTTTCACAGAAAAACAAAAAAGCAAAAAAGAAGCCTGAGAATCACGAACAAAAAAAGCCAAGCCGACCTAGATCTAAGCCTGTATTGGTAACTTCAACAGATCAAAAAGTGGAACAAAAAACAGGTATTTAACACTTATTTACAATTAACATAAAGAAACTAATTATTCTTTAGGGGTGTGTTAATTTATAACTTAAAAAAATTTTTACACTTCACTTGATTCAAAATACTAAACTCGTACTTAATTATTTGTAAACATTATTTGTAAACTAAACACATTTTAAACAGGTACTCACAGTCTCTTGATTTTCAGATGAGCGTCGATTATTGAAGAATGTTATGCTGCTAAAAGATCATAAAGGTGTTATGCATTTACAATACAAAAATTGGAAACCCTTATATTGTTTACCCTAGTCGGTGATGATAGATGGATTAATCTACCGCCTAGTCACGTAAATCCTGTGGGAGTCTCAGAGGAAAGAAAACAATCCATCATCACCACACTCATTCAGTCCCAAAAGGGATTGTACCGCCAAATAGATTAGCTTTGTGGGAGAAACTCCCTGTTGCTTCAACGTAGACTACTTCTGTTTCCACTGTTTTTTCAAAGTTCCTATTAAAAGTTTGCATAAAAATAAAGTATTTTTCTTCTTCTCTAACCAGTCAAACAATTTTGATAAAATAGGTATATCATATAATGTTAATGGGAATACATAAACAAAATTTATTAGAACTTTGAACTGATCCAATGTATCATTAGATAGATTACTGAGCGTTAATGGTCGTGTCGATGTCGTTTACTTGAGCATTTTAGCCATAACTAATTTAATACATTTTATTAATCATTGGAAGTATCCAGTGTAAATATTAAGCCATATTAGTTGTATCATGCTTTTATTTAATTACTTTGGACGTAACTACGCAGATAAGACTTATTACCCGTAATAAAATGCAGTTACATCTAAAAAATTCTAGCATTTTTAGTATTTTTCGTTGTATTGTTGGCAGTGTCTGGTATAATTAATGTACAATAATAAGTTTTACTATTAAAACAGTACATTCACCTAACGAATAAAATAAGAAACTCAATAAAAAAAGTTTGAAGGTTTTACCTAATAAAATACCAAAATAAATTTGATCTTAAGGTTTGAACTTAAAACGTCATTTTCTCAGTTTGAGGTCTAATGTAGATACCCCTTTGCGCTTAGTAAAGCAGAAAAGATAATATTTAGGATTAATTACAAATTTTTTATTTTATTACTTCAAATTTATAAATGTTTCCAATGGTGTAAAACTTGTATATACCATAACCATAAAGGGCGATACTTGTTCAGCTGCACGGAGCGAATATACAGGTTAATGAAATTTTACGTTGGCTTATTACTGAATTGTTAACATTTTTTATAATAACAATTAAACATGTAAATTCTTTAAAATTTTTTAAAATCTTATTTAATAAACAAAAACCAACTTACATTTGTTTTTTCTGACTACAACGCTTCTCATGAGAATCCAAAACTTCTTTGGTCGTTAAATTATATTTACAATACTTGCATACAAAACTCGTATCATAAGCAATTAATCGTTTTGGATGAAATTTGCATCTAAGCTCATGACTGTCTCGATAATAATCGGTTGAGAGCCCGATGTAACAATATTGGCATGTAAAAAAAATTGGTTGAGATTTCTCCTCTGGAGGTTCAAAATATTTCTTAGGATCTATACCGAGCTGCTTGGCATAACTCGGTCCATAGTACACCAATAATTCTTCTCCCTTTGAAATAATTTTCGAAGTTCTATAGTATAGTTGTCCTTGGTACTGAAAGCCTATTAAGTTCTGTTCAGAGACATTTCTTGCACAGTTGACATATCGTAAATAGTTAGAAGATTTTTCATCGCTGGCATCAACCTAAAAATTAAAAGAAACGAAACTTTTAATCAAGACGTAGGGATGATAAGTAATAAATATTATCAAAGATAGTATTGTTGTGTTTGTAGATCTATGGTTGCCTACCATATAGGGGCAGTATACTATGATAAGAGTAAAGCTGGATTTAGGGTTATGTAGATATAGTCAGTCGAATTGTACCACCGAAACAAACTGAATTAAATAAAATTTTAAAGTCACACTTGTATATTTTAATACAAAAGTAATTTTTTATAATAGAAATTTAATTTTGTATTTTTTCCAACCAGGACTCTCTCGCGAAAATTAACCGTGGGATATTCTCAATGTAACACAGAGCGTTACACCAAAGAAATGATGAAAGCACTTAAAGACGTATTCGAAAGAAAAAGTATACAAAGCTTACATTAAAAAAGAAGCATTGATTTTGAAGTGTAAAAGAGATGAAAAGCTGGAAGATCATTTTATGAATTTTGACAAAATTATAAGAGAACTGGTAGGTGTAGGTAGTAAGATAGATGAATCAGACGAAGTATGTCATCTTCTTTTAACTCTTAATGAAGAGTACAAAACTGTAATTGCCGCAATAGAAACATTAAACACTGAGGAAAGTGTGGAGTTCGTTAAATATATATTATTGGATGAAGAACTGAAGTACTTTGATAAAAACAAATCACCTAATATCAGCAATGAGGCAGCATTCAAAGTAAGTGATATTAAATACTTCAAATGTATTTAAAATGGGCCATGAATCATATGAGTGTAGAGGCAGAACTTCTAACCGGGGTAGAGGAAGTAGCAGTTCCAGAAAACATGGATTTTATAGAAGTGCCAATACAAATAGAAGTAACTCTGAGGGTGCAGGTTATGTAGAAGAAGAATTAGGTTTTATTGCGATAAATTATATTAATGAGGTTGAAAACCAGAAAACGTCCAGGGGTGTTAATAGAAGTGAAGAAATGATGCAAAATGAATAGACAGTTTATCCTGCAATGAACCGTGGGACACTTAATGACGTAAATTTTGATTTAGATTCAGGTTGTACACAAATTTTTTTATTAGATAAACAAACTTGAGTAAAATAAGTTTTATTACAAATCGCAGATGGTTACAAATTGAAATCAACTAAAAAAGGTAAACTTGGAAATATGTTTAACGAAACAAAAGTAAGTATCTGGTATCTAAGTAAGTATCTGGTATCTAAGTAAGTAAATGGTTTAATTGTTCGAAACTTGAAACATAACTTAATTTCTGTTTCAAATTTAACTAAAAAGGATAATAAGGTTGTATTTAAGAATGATTGTGCACTTATTATTGGAAAAAACATATACTGTTGAATGTCCTAAAGTAAATAATTTGTATCTTTTTAAGTTAGACATAGAATGTATGACTTTAAATGTAAATTATTTAGATAAAACTGAGTTTAATAGAAATATTTGGCATAGACACTTAGGCCATTTGAATCATGTAAAAAAGGCGGGATGAGTAGAAGCTGCCACGCTCCAAAATTTCGTCAAAATAGTCATTAACTTCGTTCATATTGATCGTAAAAGGTTTTTATTAATTGTGAGTTTTTTACCAGTTCTCCAATGGTTATACGTACAAGTCTGTAGCTTGGAAAAATATGGAAGATATTACAATCGTTTATAAGTAACAAACATACCCCTTTTTCCAAATTTTTATTTTCTAAATAATTTCGATGAAAACGCAATATGCATTTAACTTCTGAGATAGTTTAAGTTGTAAAGAATCCTATGAAATTTGCTAAATGTGTCTAGCACCAACAATAAAGCAAGTTCAATAGTCTAAATATTTAGCCTCAGGGATAAATAAATTAAATAAGTTTTAAACTATTTGACCGATCGGGGGAAAATTTCGCACAAATTTAAAAAACGGTAGTTCTTCGATGATCAAATATATTAATAACATTTTATTTTGTTAATAAAAAAAATTATTAAAATTTATAAATTAGTGCAAAAATGCTGCTTTTTGCAGATATTCTTATCCAGATAACCAGATAACTCTTGGAAGATCTTTAATATTTTCGGCTAAGATCATAGTGTCGTCCGCATATTTAATGTAGTTAATGCAACTCCATTTAACTTAACTCCAGCTGTTTCACCCTCAAGAGCTTTTTCAGGATCTCTTCGGAGTAGGCATTAAAAATAATTGGCGACAATACGCATCACTGTCTCACTCCACGACTAATTTCAATTTCTTCTGAAAGCTTGTTAACACATAGTTTTGCTCGCTATTTATAGTATAAATTTGATATAATCCTAAGATCGTTGTAGTCAATCTTTTTTGATTTCAGGATATTCATTAATTGTTCATTTCGTACTTTATCGAATGCTGTATTATAGTCAATAAAGCATCTTGATTGAAATATAAATATCTAAATATATTTATATTATAAATGCTAAATCTATTACGATTTTAATAAAATTTGGTGGACTGTTTTTTTTTATATCATAAGATTTTCAATAGTTGAGTAACAAAAATGTAGACATTAAATTCTAGGAAATGGTGATAACAATTCTGAGTTATTCTTGGTGTTCCAGTGGCATACATTTTTTTAGAGTGAAAGGTAGCGCCGCCAATTGTATATTTTTGTACATTTTTCATAAATTTTTAAAAATTATATACAGGCATGAAAAAAAAATTTTACTACATATATATAGGGCATTAAGACAACGTAACGTAGCGAACTGAGAAAAAATATTATATATGTAGACTTGTATTTCCGAGTGAATAACATGAAATCACATGTCTGTGATAGATTTGTAAGCACTATGGGCAGTCTTGTCTCTACATTGTTGCGAAAGAAAGTTTATTTTTTAGATGGTCTGAGAAAATATTTCAGCGATGTTATTACAATATTTAAAAGTATGTTCATATCTAAGATTAAATCATCGGTTTCTTTAATCTCAATTCATAAAAAATAACATTATAAATTATTATTGGCATAAAATAAAACAAGTTATTCTTAAAAGTAACAATTTTATAATTTTAATTAACACTATTTTAAATTAAAATTTGCAAAAAGTTCACCTCGTTTAGCCAAGCAGTAGCCTAATCTATTGTATAATTGGCTTCGGCTGTTCGACAACATTTCTGGTGTTATGCTTTGAAAGACCTGAATGATTTTTTGACGAAATTCATCTAAATTTCCGGCACTTTCATGCTTATGTCGGTAAATTTGTTGCTTCACATAACCCCATACGAAAAAGTTTAAAGGTGCAAGATCAGGAGAGCGAGGTGGCATTTTTATGCTACCTTTTGTACTAATAACTATCTGGAAACGTAATGTTTAAAAAATCTAACCCCAAATGTGCATTGTGAGCTGTACAGTCGTATTACTGCAACTAAATTTCATCGATATTAATAGGTAATGCTTCTTCTTCTTTTTGTGCCACTCCTATCGGAGATTGGAAATCATCAAGGCTATTCTGACCTTGTTTACGGCTGACCTAAAGAGTTCATTAGTGGTGCAGCCAAACCACTCTCTCAAATTCCGCAACCATGACATTCTTCTACGGCCTGGATTCCGTTTTCCTTCTATTTTTCCCTGCATTATATTTTGAAGTAATGCGTATTTATGTCCTCTCATCAGATGACCAAAATATTCGAGTTTTCTTCGCTTTAGCGTTAACAAAATCTCTGGGTCTTTTCCTATTCTTCGTATTACTTCACAGTTTGTTATTCTTTCAACCCAACTAATCTTCAGCATTCGACGGTAGCACCACATCTCGAAACTTTCAATATTTTTCATGTTGTTCTGTTTGAGAGTCCAGGCCTCTACACCGTATAATAGCGTGTTAAATACATAGCCTCTCAGCATTCTTAATCGTAGAGGGATACTTATATTTCTGTTGCAGAAGAATTTTCTCATCTTTATGAAGGTGGCCCTGGCAATTTCGATACGTCTTTTTATTTCACTGTTTTGGTCTCCAGTTTCGTTTATTAAAGTTCCCCAAGTATTTGTAACTTGATACTTTTTCAACTTGAGTGCCGTTTATACTAATATACGCTGGTTGTGTCATGTTTTTACTGAAGACCATATACTTGGTTTTTTTAATATTGATATTTATACCATAATTGTTGCAAGCAATATTTATGTCTGTAAGTAATCTTTGTAATTCTTCTACTGTTCTTGCAACTAGTACAGTGTCGTCCGCGTATCGAATATTATTTACAATCTCTCCATTAATTACGATTCCTCCGTTTGTTGTAAAAGGGCTTCCTGACAGATGCTTTCACTATATACATTAAATAACAGAGGTGACAAAATGCAACCCTGTCGTACTCCTCTACGTATTTCTATTGCTTGTGATGTTTCAGTTTCTATTTTGATGTTAGCTTTCTGATTCCAATATAGATTGAGAATTATTCGAAGATCTTTATTATCTATGTCCTTCCTTTCAAGAATCTCTCTAAGCTTATCATGGCGTACTGTGTCAAACGCTTTTTCAAAATCGATAAAACACGTATGTACCTCCTGATTAACGTCTAGGCATCTTTGTGTGAGAACATTCAAACCGAAGAGAGCTTCTCGAGCACCAAGCCTTTTTCTGAACCCCATCTGTGTATTACTAATATCTGACTCCAAATTTTGATAAACTCGGTTGTGGATGATTTTTAGAAATATCTTTAGTAGGTGGCTCATTAAAGATATTGTTCGATGTTCTGAACATTCTTTAGCATTAGATTTCTTTGGCAGTGTAACGAATGTAGACAACAGCCACTCTTGAGGTATAATGCCAGTATTGTATATTGTATTAAATAAGTGCAATATTATACCTATTGATTCATCATTCAAGAGCTTTAGCAATTCGGTAGGAACCTCATCCGGTCCATTTGCCTTCCCAGTTTTGGAATTTTTAAGTGCCATTTCTACTTCACATTTTAGAATTTCAGGTCCCGTTTCGCCATATATCAGAACAATGTTATTTCTGTTGTCCTCAAATAATTCTCTTATGTATTTCACTCCATCTATTAATTTTCTCTGTTAAATCTATAATAATCTTTCCATCCTTTGTTCTTAAGCAAACTTATTTGATGTCTTCTTTGGGTTCCTGTAATTTCTCTTACTTTTTTATGTATATTGAACGTGTCATACTTTCTTTCATAGTTTTCCATTTGTACACATTGTTCTGTAATCCATGATTCTTTGGCATTTCTTATTCTTTGCTTTATGTTCTTATCAACCTCTTTGTATTTTTCTGCATTATTCTTCATTTTACGTCTTTTAAACATTAGTTCTAGAATGTCTGGTGTCATCCACACCTTATGTTTCTTTGCAGATTTCGTTAGGTGTTTCTTTCCCGTAGTTCTTATTATAGTATTTATATACTTAAGTTTTTCATCTATGTTGTCTGTTCTGCGGATTTGGCTTTCTGCGACACTGAGGCTGGTGTTTATTTCTTCTCGCACTGTTTGTCGTAGATGTTCATTTTTAAGCTGGCTTAAGTCTAATGCTGGAATGATGGCTTTTCTTATTTTCTTTGGTCTAGCTTCTATCACAGATACTACTGGATTATGATCCGAACCGATATCAGCTCCAGGGAAAGTTTTAGTAGATTTTACGGCATTACGGTATCTTTTTGTCACCAATATGTAATCTATTTGGTTTCTGACCACTTTTTCTTGTGTATGTTGAGGTGACGTCCACGTATATAGTCGCCTTGGGGGTAGTTTAAAGAATGTATTAGTTATTATTAAATCTTCGCTTTGACAAAACTGAACTAAACGATCACCCCTTTCATTTCTATTACCTAAGCCATATTCACCGACATTTTCCATTTTTTTGAGATGATGACTCCTACTCCGTATCGATGGGTTTTGGTGTCACTTCCGGCATAATAAAACATACCATGATTATTTGTGGGACATTTGCCGTTTCCTGGCCATTGTGTATCGCTCATGCCTAATATGTCTATACCCAAACGATCCATTTCCAACACGACATTATCTAATTTTCCCGAAGAGAATAAGCTCCTTACATTCCATGTAGCAATTTTTATGGTTGTCTTTTTCTTTTTACAAGGGTTTCGCTGGTTTACGACCGAGAAAGCCTTGTACTTATCTATTTCTCTTTCTCTGCCGGATCTTGGTATCCGATGTCCATGATCAGTACTTTTCCTTTGCATGTAATGCAGGTAATGCTTGAACTACTGGAATTATGTGATTTTTTAGGAGATCTCAGGTATTTACGATGACACAAAGTGCCCACAATGAAAAAAGGACCACATACGTTGTCACCTAAAATACCAGCCCAAAACGTTGACTTTTGACACTATTGTATTTTGTAAGGAACACCTATTATGTGTCTATTTTCTGTAGAGTGCTCTACTATTACATATAGATTGTGATGGTCAGTTAAAGGAAAAGAAGACTCGTCTCTAATATTTTTTTTCATGAAAGGAAAATCGTTTACGAACGATTAGTGCATTCCATCATGCCCTCATAGAACACTATCCATCGTTCATAATCAGCAGGGAAAATTTCCTTAGTTTTTTGCCGAGTTTTTTAAAAAAGATATATGTATTAAATAAAATAAGCGTGTTTCTACTATTTGAGAAAGAAATGAAGAAGAAGAAGAATAACATAAAAACATTGTATACAGCTAAAATGCTGTAATAAAAATAATAATGCATTGACTTACCAAACGCCCGTCCCTCAATTTCCAAGCATATCCCGTGGTACTGTCAATTCTTGTTATTTCGCCTTCGTACGGTCCAAGTCTCACACCTTTCTGTATAGATCTCAAAGCAAATAATCCCAAACCATGAATTTTTGATGGCTGTACCTCCAAGATACCTTTGGGTGCTGTTTTCTTTGCTCTCATTTCGACACCCATACGAATGGGAGTATCCTTAAGGACAACTAATACTCCGCAATTTGAACAAAAGTCTACATAATCTTCTTTGCAGTTATCACAGTCTGTAACAGAATTAATTGTGTACATTAATAACAATATTATAACAGAATTCATTAGTATCATTGTCAAATAAAGATATCAATGAATAAATTGAGTTTTTTATTTAAGACAAGAATTTTGAATAGGTCACTGTTTTCTTGAAACTGAAATTGCTACTTATTTTCAGTAGAAGTATGGATAAAATAACCAAAAATTGTATAAATACAAAAGCAAAATGCGAAATCGGGAGAACATAAAATGGAGCTAGAGATAGAACCAGGTCAAATGGTTTAGGGCAAAGATCGCTGAGGTCTTTGCTATAACATAGCTGTATGCATAACTCATTTTGCTTTTGCATTAAGCTTTTGCTAAAAGATGTAAACTTCTACACATTTAGTAAAGCGCAAGGGAAGGAAAATAAGATTATTAAACTGTTTTCGTTCTCACCATCAAATCAGATAGCACCTTTAACTTCAACCACTTGAGTGGAAAACACTTGGGAAACATTCGTTTGCCTTCCGTGTTTGATTTTATATTCAGCCACAGCATTTGATGAGGCTGTGGGACGTCATTAAACTGTGATGATTTATTGTCTCTAATGCATCAAAGCGCTAGCAAGTTTTTGCCAGTCATTGCCAATGACCGTTTGGCATTGATTTGCATAATGGAAATCATCCTTGATAGTTCCAAAAAAATCGGAGGCCGGAACAACAAAATAAACAACGTAAACTGTCTAATAAAACTAAAATAATGCTAAAACAAACAAGGGCAAAAAAAATAAGTAGCAACATACACAACTTTGCAAGACAATAATAAAAAAATATTAAGGAAGGCATACGAAAATACAATGAAAGTGGTAGAAAATGCAATCGAAAACAGAAAAAGCTGTAAGAAAAGCATTAATCATTGAGAAGAAGCAAATCGTTGCTCTAACAAACGAAAACACCAGAATTACAGACAGAAATGAAATAATACAACTCGTGAATAAATTCTACAGCGAACTGTACGAAGCCCCTGACACACTTGAAAAAATAATTAGTAACCAAGAAGATGTACCAGAAGTCCTTCCGGAAGAAGCAAAATCAACAATTACAAAAATTAAAAGCGGTAAAAGCAGCTGGAATAGATGGTTTAACAGTGGAACTACTAAAATGCGCTGGCAATAAAACATTTTAAATCTTAGCAGGCATATTTACGAACTGCCTAAGATCAAGATGGATATCTGACCACTGGAATACAGCAAACATAATTCCCATTCATAAGAAAAATATCAAAAACTACAGACCTATAAGTCTACTATTAATCATATACAAGATATTCACAAAGATCATTAACAACAGATTAACAAACGCATTAGATGCTGCACAGTCGAGAGAGTAAGCTGACTTCAGAAGTGGATTCAATCCGTAGATCACATTACATAGAAACTTATGAAAACACTTAAGAATTTTCCACTACTAGGGGCATCCGACAAGGAGACGCAATATCACCAAAGCTCTTCACTGCAACTCTAGAAAATATATATAGTTGTTGTCCATGTGCTAGTTATTGGCCTACTAATATGTTTTGATTAGAATTAGGAAAACGTTGGTATTTTGTTAATTCTAACTATTTTTTTTAAGTTTGGCAACATGTCTACTAGAGTATGACATATCTAGTTTCAAGGTAACCATTAAATTTTAGTCAGTATTCGATGTTGAATGAGACACTGTTCTGTGCCGCTAGTTTTCAAGCGAAATTTTGTTATTTACCTACAAAAACTTGTGTTGGTCGGTAAGTACTACATACTGCAATTTACTTTCTACTTTATATTTTATGTTTTTATGAGAATATAGTGTATGTCCTGTTCCAAACTGCATAACGAGTATGTTATTTATACAAATAACGTAAATTTTAAGGTGGCCAACTACTAATGCATGAAATTATCAATGTATTAGTTATTGGCCTAGATGGCCAATAACTGAAACATTAGATTTTTGTAAGAATCTAGTGATTGACATATGTTAATAAATAGTGTTTTATATGTGGCCAATAACTAATTATTATAAATTGTTTTAGACAATATGCCAAAACGATCTAAAACTGAAAACAATTATAAAAAAAAGTATTCCGAAGACGATCTTAAAAAGCGTTAGAGTTAATTAAAAATGGTATGAGTGAGCGAGAAGCCTCAAGAATTTTTAATATTCCCAGAGCCACTATAAGTTACCTGAAAAGTGAAAAATTTCATTACAAGATAACCCATGGACCAGATCCATTTCTTTCGAAGGATGAAGAAGAACAACTGAAACTCTGGATTTTTCATTGTCAAAATAGAGGATTTCCTGTTCGTGTTGACGACATTAAGGACTCCGTTAAATCATTTTTAGAGGGTAACCCTAGAGTTAATCCATTTGTTGAAAATAGACCAGGTAGAACATGACTATCAGCATTTCTAAAGCGCAATCCCAACATTTCGCTAAAGACTTCAGAGGGAGTGACATCAGCAAGTTCAAACATTAACCAAAGGGATATTACCAAATGGTTTGACAACATAAAAACTTATCTAAATAAAAAAGGACTTTCGGACGTTCTTCAAGACTCAACAAGAATCTTCAATGGTGACGAGACATGTTTTTATCTATGTCCCAAAAATAAAAAGGTTTTGGCTATGAAGGGTTCCAGAAACGTCTATGAAATTGAACATAACCCAAAGGTTAACTGAACAGTTATGTTCACATTTTCTGCAATAGGCAATATTTTACCTCCTATGATAATTTATCCCCATAAAAGATTGCCAAATGATATACTAAGTGCTGTGCCGAATTCGTGGGGTATTGGTTTAACTGAAAATGGTTGGATGGACAACAAAAACTTTTATGAATATATTGGAAATATATTATTTAACCCCTATTTAGATCGGAATGATGTTACACGTCCGGTGATACTTTTTGTTGATGGGCATAAAACACAAGTCTACAGACAAGTCAACTTTGTACAGACTTAAAAATTATTTTAGTAGCATTATATCCTAATGCAACGAGATTATTGCAACCAGCGGATGTGGCTGCGTTTAAGCCTCTAAAAACTTTTTGGAACAAAGCTGTGCTTCAGATTAGGAGAGACGACCCCCAAAAAGTGTTAACGAAAGTACAGTTTGCCCCTGTTTTAAAAACTGCTATAGATAGGTTAAGTCCAGATGTTATCAGAAGTGGGTTTAGGGCATGCGGTATATTTCCTTGGAATTCTTCTGCTCTTGACTATTCAAAATGTCTTAGGAAAGAATTTGAAACTGAAGATAATCTGGATAAGCACAATGATTTACCAACACTTATTGATCCAAATACAACAATTTCTTATAAACAATTTCGTGAAATAGTTGGCAATGACAAAATTAAAGAGCTATGTCGAATAATAGTAAAACTCAATCTGATGATTACCAAATATTAAAACAAATCTTTTTAGCATTTACAGAAAAATCATCGGTAGAAATTTCTACAAACGACGAACAAGAAAATATTTTAGACGAAGAAGTAAAATTTTTAGACACAAGTGAAGTAATTTTCGATATAAATGATATACCTGTAATAATAGATGATACTGAAATTTTAAACATTCCTGAAATCGAGAATGAAACCTTAATGGTACCTAAGAATGAAATTTTCAACATGCAATGAATACAAGAATATACAAATCAAGCTAAATCAAGTTTGACAAATACGGTTAAAGAAGGTCAAACCTAAAAAAACCCGATAAATCCCTAAACATTTCTGAAAATATATCTGTAAATGCTACAAATAAATCTATTGCGACTTACTTAATATGGCCAGATACTCCAGCACGAAAAGGAAAGAAGGAAACTCAAAAGCTTCCATTTGTTCTAACTTCATCAGATAGAAGAAAAATAGAAAAAGAAAAAATGGAAAAAAAATTAGAAGAGGAGCGTAAAAGGAACGGAAGAAACTTGAAAGAAAAGAAAAACAGAGTATTAAGGAAAATCAAAAGAAAATAAAAAGCTCAAATAGTAAAAATCCCAAAAAATTAGCTAAAACTTTTAAGTCTGAAGAAAAAAGTAGACAACCCATAGAAATAACCTCAACAAAATTAAAAAAGGTGTAACAGTTCACATTCCTATTGAAAAATATCAAAAAAAGATAAAAAAAGCATTGAACGTGTTTTCTCCTCTAAACCAGGAAAGTGAAAGTAACAATATTGAGGTTTTTGAGCCACCACTACCTGAATTGGTCAAAGTTCCAATACCACAATCTCATTCTCAGACAAAATCATCAAGCTCTGTAAATATCCAAGATAATATTGACATTTTCAAGCATTCACCTACACCAGAAGCGAATTTGAGATTATCTCCGAAAATATTTCTCGCCCAGACTAAATCTCCAAGCCCTGAGCAAAAAATTGTACCCAAACGGAAATTATTTGATGATAATACATATCAGTCCTCAACAAAAATTACAATTCTATCTGATAATTTATTATCAAATATTCCTCCACACTTTGAAAATCGAAACTTGGTATCAAACGTTCTTCCGCGTTTTAAAAATAAAAACTTGGTATTTAACAAAATAACAATATACAATAAAACATTCCATCACATTTTAAAAACCAAAAAGTTACCAAAGGTGCGTGTTATCTATGTGTACTAAATATTACAGAGTGTAAAGAAGGCATTAGATGCCAAATGTGTCTTAGAACATATCATGTAACTTGCATAACAAGATTCTATGGCAACACAGATCAAGTATATGTTTGCGAATCTTGCCAAAATAAAAAATAAAAGTTTACTTTGACATGTGATTTTTTTGTGTCCACATTTATCACAAAATCCTTGCTTACCCAAACACCTACCTACCTATCTATTTTAACTTACTAATTATTTGGTAAAATATCTCTTTAAAAAATGATGGCCAATCACTAATACATATGGTGTCAATAACTGGAACTGGGTGGCCAATAACTGGTTCATTTGCACGGTTACAAAAGAACACATATAAAATATTTTCACACATGAAATATTAACGTAATAAAA